GAGAAGAGAACTTATTCGATCGTTTTTCGAACTAGCTCGGAACTACACAAAAATACTCTTCAAGACATGGATGTAAGTAAAATATTAATAATACTTTCAACATCAACTCTCAAAGAATAAAATACAGAAATATATTCTAGGATTATATGTTATAGAAAAAAGAACCGCTAATAAAGTTTCGAATGCATATGATTTGCATGGTATTATCTTGTAATACAAAAAGAAAAACACATTATGAGTAGAGATATGGCAGATGAGTCCCAGTTTCGGTGCTGAAACTGGAAATCAATTTTATAGTAACATATTCTATTATATTTTAAGTAAATTATAGATTAAAAAAAACGAGCATTGAAGAATTATTTAAGATGTGATGTCAATAAGTTCTCGAATAGATTTTAATGGGCTAAAATCATAACCAAAAAATAAGCTCTACTATGTTTCGTGATCAAGAAAACTTGTCCCTGAACATTTCTACTCATGACATATATAATCAATCTTATGTAACATTTTTCTGTTCGACTTGTTGTAAAACACATTGAGTTATGTGTAAACAGTATTTCTAATGAAAATATTCAATTACAAGTTTCATTATTCTATGAAAATCAGGCAGAATCTAAAAACATGTTGTAAGCCGTGTACCGAGCCGTGCACGTAGAAAGAGTAAAAGCATGTGAAGAAAAATAATGTTTTGATGAGCTTCTACTTGAGATAACTGAACTTAGTTTGTGAATTATTTATCTATTAAAACAATAACTAAAAATGAAAATTTTTAATTACTATCAAAAATTATGAAAACGTAAGGGAGAAAATGGATTGTTTTCAATTTCATAATCAAAGATATCACATTGCAATTGAAAATCAGCAATCTGCTTTTCATTTCGATACAGTATATATAACAAAAAGCTTGATATTCCGAGACATTTTCTTCTATCGATAACAGATGTCGACAGTCATATTAGACATAAAAATAATTTGCCAATATGATCTGAAATGAAACTAATCTATTTTCTATCTATGATATTTCTAAAAACGTTATGTGTTCTCTTTTCTTCGTTCTAGGCCAATGAAAAATTATTGGAATCAGCAAAACTACAACAGATTATATTTGAAATTTTATTGAATAAACTCTTTAATAAATCAATCGAAGGTTTAAATGAAACACTTCATGAAGTTAAAGATCTGCAAGAAACACATTCATGGTATAATTGTAATCTAATTCAAATCCGTGGTCTTAAAGCGAAAATAACTGAAATTCAACAACAGTATGATTCAATCATTCGTAGTATCTTGGATGAAATTGTAGCACAAAAAGAATATGCAAAAGAAATACTTACATACGCACTTGATCAACTTGAAACAACAATCGATACACCTGAAATAAAAGCTCATATAAATCAATTGATGCATCAGATAGATCAACTTGTTGACAATATGGCCTCACAAACCTTATTGTTATCAATATTCTCGGGCATTGGCATGTCCAGTACTATTGCTTTAATTATCAGTTTGTTTGTTGGTGCATCAGCATTAGGTGCTTTTGCACTTGGAATAGGAGTTATTGGCAGTGGCATAGCTAATCAAGTCATATTTCGACGAAAACTATGCGAATTAGATGAAAAATTAAGAAACAATATTAAAAAAGTTGAAAATAAAAAACATGAACAAATAAAAAATCTTAATGAATATTTCGATGATTTTGAAAAAAAATTACGCTATTATTCAACTCATAGTCAAACCTCAGTGATAAATATTATTTGGTATGATAAAAAAATTCAAAATGATGAAAATCAAAAGTATATTAAACAATTAGAAAATGAATTTTCAACCGAACAATATCAAATCTTACCATATAATAATAAAGAACAAACAATTGAATTAATTAAAACTAATATTCAAAATAATTTAATTCTAATCACATCAGGATCAGCTGGAAAAGAAATTATTTCTGAAAAAGGATATTATTTTCATATCAAAGGTATAATTATATTCTGTTCTTCAGTTGAATATCATCGAACATGGGCAAAACAATATAAAAAAGTTTTACTTATCACAAATCAATTTTCTCAAGTTATTCAAAAAATAAAAGATATCGAATGTGGTGAAATTTATTTTTTAAATTTTGGTTTTGCATATGAAGATATTGCATTAAAATTAAAAAATTTTAATTATTATCTATCAACAACACAAAATAGTTTTATTATTCAAAACTTTTCTGATATTAATTTAAATATCGATTATCATAAAAATATTATGATAAAATTACATCGTTCATTGAAATCAAAAAATATTTATTCACAACGTATTCCAAATCATTTTCAACTTGAAAATTTAATGCAATATGCTGAAAAATTTGTTGAAGCTTTAAAAAAATCTGAACCAGTAAAACACATCATACATCTATATACAGCTGCTGCACCTTATTATTATAAAATAATTAATGATATTCTTAATTTATTAGATGAAGAATTAATTTTATTAATTCAAGATTATATTAAAGCATTACGATATGCTTTATTGATCTATTCGGATACATCTAATAGAATACCACATACAACAAATGTTAAATTATATCGAGATTTATGCTTAGCAAAAGCAAATAGTTTTCAAGAATTTTTGAAAAAATTCAATGTTAATGATAAAATTGTTTTTCCAGCTTTTTTATCAACAAGTTTAAATCAAAATGCAGCAAGAATTTTTGCTGGTGAGAAAGGCGTTCTATTAGACATTTCTGCCGATTGTACAAAATCAAATAAACCAAAAAGTATCGGTGTAGATTCACAATTTACAAATGAAGATGAAGTTTTATTAAATTGTTTTAGTTTATTAACAGTCAAAAAAATTACAAAAATAAAGGATGATTTAATATCGTACGAATGCAAATTAGAACTATATTAATCATAAATAACATTTGTATTTTATATTTTATAATCAAGTCTACTGTTGTCAAACGTGATGTTTGTTTTTGTTAACCAAGAAAAAGATGTAATAAAGTTTTTGTTTTAGATTGATTTCTTTTCTCATATAGAGTCGATATCCCTAAAGCGAACGGACATCTTGGAGGTCTCCATTGTAATTATGATATTTCTGTCATTTTTCATCATAAAATAATTATTTTTATATCACGGGAATGAAAACAAAATTC